GTGGGAGAACTTGCACAATTGGTGGCTGACTAAATACTTTTTTGCTCCACTGTAGATAGAGATTAGACAGAGATAGTTCATCAAATCTCACAAGACTTTAGACAGAAGTCACTTGCAAGACACTGAGAACGCCAACATTTCATAAGGTTTGGGCCATTACTTTTTAAAAATTATTTGGCTCACGCCGTAAGCTCCATCTGTATAGTACCCTTCAGTGGACTCTGAAACATAGGTTGGGAACCACTGATCTACAGCAAGACATAGAGGATTTCCAATGAATAGACAGTGGCAACTTTCAATTATTTAGGAATATAAATTATATAAATTTGATTAATAAATAAATTAGACAGACAGAAAGAAAGAAAGAAAGAAAGAACAAAAAGACCCAGCTGTGAATACTACTGCTAAAATGAAGCTAGAGTAGTGTAATCAGTGGAGCAGAGCTGTGTGTGGAAAGCCTGAATTGCTTTTGATTTGAGTACCAGACTGAACGTATCTCACAGCCTCTCACAAAAAATCCTTCCTTCTTTAACTGCCCACTTTTTGCAGTAGGTTTCAGTTGGCTCTGAGGTCCAGTAAAAGCAAGCTTGATCCTTTACAGGTCTGTCAAGAACTGAATATCTAGCCTTGCACTATTTTATTTTGAAAGAACAGAATCGTGCAGGCAAACGTTTTCCTCGTGATTCTCTATGGAAGCAAAACTTGGACTCTGAAGAAGCAGGCTAGGAAGCATTTTGATGCTTTTGAGCTCTGGGCTTGGAGAAGACTCCTGAGAATACCATGGATAGCCAAGAAAACAGGCAAATGGACCCTAGAACAAATCAATCCATTGTTTCCACTCAAGGCAGAAATGACCAGGCTCAGATTATGATATTTTAGATGTCTAAGATCCAGCACCCTTGAGAAACCCATAATGCTGAGAATGGTGGATGGACTCAGTTACAGCAGTGATGATTACACCGCTGGAAGACCTGAAGGGTCAGACTAGGGACAGATCATCCTGGAAAAAGCCTATCATTGCTAAAAATCAACACCGACCTGGTCCTCGATTAATCAATCTGCTTTTGGAGTCAAAGGACTCCTTTAAGGTCTTGGATAGGAGTACAGTAAATATGCTTAATTTTAAAACTACTTCAAGTTAATACAAAAACAAATATTGTTATATTCTACACAATGTGAAACAAAATCTGCTGGGATAGTGTCATGTCATGTTAATTTAAATCTACTCTGGAGAAGATGTAAAACAAATAGAAAACAAACAGCAATGCCTACCAGAGACATTGGATTCATTATAAACAATGGACAACTCTAAGGTATACCTAATGTATTTGGTGCCCACAAAAGGACATTATAAGGGGGAAAAAATCAAGTGTTTTAAATCTGTATTATATAAGTATTATCTCCTCTGTCAAACTAAACTCAAACTGGAGAATATTTACTTCTGGACTCTAAAAGTGCTTCGTAACTTTTGGCATGGGGACAGGGTGGGGACTCAGGCTACATTTGGACAATGTGACTGATCACTCCCACTTGCTTCTCCAATCAATGGGCATGGTGAACAAGTCTTTGATGGCTCTTCAAAGACCTACCAAAAAAATGTCAGTTGATCTCGTTACTGTTCAAAGTGTGAGTGGTTCAGGTTTGCTTAAAAAACACACACACAAATATTTCAAAGTCAACAGCAGCCCAATTTGTGCAAAACAGAATACACGCACACACACTTTCATATGTATTTATTTCATAGCATGCTTAACTGCCTCCATTTGAATTCATCAAATTGCAAACGGTCTCCACAAGATGTTGGAATATGGCAGATCTCCTAATCCGTGCCCTCTGAAATAGGCAGCAGCCATACAATCTGCTCAGTAAATACTCAGCACCTGGCTGATCTTGTCTGGGCTCAAAAGCTTCAGCAGCATTAGGCCAGCTGGGTGGGGAAGTTACAGGAAAGCAGAAGACCATCCCAGAAGAAAATAGTGGCAAACCCCTGCCGTTATTGTTGCCAAGAAAATGCCACACGCGTGTCTTTGAAATCAGCCAAGCTCAACTCAAATGTCCATCGCGTTTATTCCAACTCCCCCCAATGCTTCCCCTCCTTCCTTTTTTTCTCATCCCTTATGTTTGTTCTAATCTTCCTGCTTTGGAGAGCCTTGAAGCACTTTGAGGCTAACCCAGCGATGGAGATGAAGCACTCCAGGCAAAGTACTTCTTCAACAAAATGGGGGCACTGTCCGCCATTTGCATTCTGCAGCCATAGACTGCTCCATGTTTCTGGCTTTAATTAGCAGAATTTCTGAGAGGACCAGAAGTTTCAGAGCTCAAAACCTGGTTTCCGTTACCAAGTAAGCTTCACACTCCTGTTTTTTATTGCTGAGAATAGAAGGGACTCATTGTCATTTCATTTTTCTCTATTAACCAGACATTTCTGGGTAATTTAGAATTTCAAACAATAGCTGGATAAAGATCTCATTTCCCCAATATTTAGAGTCTTCTATACCCCACACTGAATTTCAGGATCAATCCATACCTTATTCTATATATATCTCATCGGCCAAAACCACATTTTTATTGTGAGCACATGTACACAATCAAATATAATTCTTCCTCTCAATCCTACTGAATTCTAGCTCAAGATGTGTACCAATTTTCGATCAAGGGTATATGATACCTGCGTTCCCCTGCCAGAACTTCCAAACAAACTCAAGACTTCTCTTCTATAGAGTTCCAGCCACATCCTAACTTTCTCTCACAATGGGTTCTCTCACTTTCCTCTTACATTCTCAACTTCTTTAATTATTTTCCTAAATCAAATATGGCAAACTTTTGTTTTCTACTGAAAAGAGAATATGTAAATAAGGCA